AACAAAGTTTACTCTTAGCCCGCGGTTCCGAAGTCCGGCGCAGCGCGAAACGCACTATCTCCTCGAACCGCCACGCGACACTCCGCCGACAGGCGGACGACTATCACAAGAAACTGGAACACTATGTGTCGACCCTCCGGTCCACATTGATTGAAGCGGGAATGACGGTCCCTCCGCGGCCCCTTCCCCTCTCTACTCACTCCAAGTCCTATCGTGCACGGGCTCTCTTCCCAGAAACCCGTGTGGCAGGCGCTCCGGCGCGGGCTCCGACCACAGCTGGTAGGTCGAAGAAGGCGGGGGTTCTGTCCCCCAACTTAGCAGCCTCAGGAACGAGGGCTCCGACCACCCCTGGGAAGAAGGCGGGGGTTCTGTCCCCCAACTTAGCAGCCTCAGGGACGAGGCCTCAGACCATCCCTGGGAAGAAGGTGGCGCGGGCTCCGACCACCACCTTAGCAGCAGGAGAGACGAGGGCTCCGACCATCTCTCCGAAGGAACCGACGCGGGCTCCGACCACCGGTGCAGAAGAAAGTACCGAGGCTGCGCCTCCGTCCACCACCTCGAAGGGGTTGGCGCGGGCTCCGACCACCAACCCAGAGGCCCCTATACCTCCCCCTCTCCGCCAACCTCGCCTATCGTGGGCTGAGGTGGCGAAGAAGCCGGCTGCTACGGCACTACCGGCTTCGCTTCAGACCCGTCTACAACAGACCCGCCTGGCGCTGAAGGCTTTCTCAAGCCCCAGCAAACAGCCAATTCCTGAGGCAGTCTACTTCGGCGGCGTCCCGTGCGGGCCAATTGGGGACCTGCGCAGAGCGCTTCTTCTGTCGCTACCAAAGTGGGCGATTATTGGGATCTCCTTCATAGGCAATACGGCCCTGGAGATCCTTTGCCACAAGCAACTCGTCGATCGCCTCATCGCGACAATGAAGTTGCTAATGTTTCGACACTTGGAACGATACAACCCTCGGAGAACTCTACGGACCACTGGGTCCAACGAACGGGCAACTACCCACTGACGTTCTTGTCACCGTCGATGGACATGGTGTGCGGAGAACTCTCGTTCCCCCGCGGCTACTACATGGTATCAGACCAACGCCAAAGCCCTCGAAATCTTGGATCCTACCCTCGCACCCGCTCCCTCAGATTCCGACTCGGACACGGGCTCGGAGACGAACGCGGACCGAGCCCAGAGTGCTAGAAAGGAACCGGGTCCCGCTCCGACCCGGGCAGCCCCAGCTCCATATACTGCTAAACCACCAGCTCTGCGCCCAGGGGGCCCTCAGGAATGAGGGTCTCCCTCCGGAACATCAGGGGCTGGACCACTGCAAAGACCCCAGCGGTCCTCTCCCTCACAAAGGCAGCATCGATTACCTGCCTAACGGAGATCTGGCAACCCCGGTCTCTCGCTCTCCCAGACGGGGTCGTGATGCACTCTGCTCACGGTCATCGCCCGGTAGGAGCTCGCCGCCACGCTGGTGGAGTCTGTATGCTTTTCACTAGCCCAGACTTCACCGAAACGGCCAATATCACCCACCCGCACTTTCAACTACTTGCGGGTCGGCACCGGGGCCTCATGCTTATTGGGGCGTATCTCCAACCAAGGGCCCCAGAAGCTGAGGTCCACAAGCTGTTGTTCCACATGACACGCCTAGCCCGCGGGAAGACCCTCATCATGGGAGACTTCAACGCGCGTCACCGGCTATGGCATACCTATACCACAAAACAAGGCCGACTCTTGTCGCAATGGGCCTTTCAGCTGAACTTCACAGTTGCCACCCCTGCGAAAGCCACTTGCTACCCTCTCCGACATGGTTCCAGTACGGTGGACCTGTTTCTTGGGCGCGGCATACCCTTTGGCACACTGCAGCTGACGCAGGGCCACTGGGCCACTCTCTCGGACCATCGGCCCATATCTGTCCTCCTCTACCCGGAAACCCCACCACGCCTCTCCAAGGCGGTCCCCTCCTCTATACTCACCAACCTGGATATCCGAAAAAAGGTCCGGGCCTCCTATCTGCAACGGCTCCCAGGCTGCAGCAGCAACCTCTCTGCCTGTGCTACTCCGAAATCTCTGGAATATGAAACTACCAAGCTAGACAAAACGTTCGTCGAACCATGGCTGGCACACTTCGCCTAGAAACCAGCACGCTTCCGCCCTGGTTGGACCTATGCGACGGACCGTTTGGCAAAGCTACGCTCTAAACTATTCCGAGCTCCGCTAACCCCGGACTTTAAGGCGGAAATCCATAAGTTGGATAAAGCCATCCGGAGGAAGGTTCGCAAGAGACGCCGCGAGCTGCGAACCCGCCATCTGGACACGGTGAACGAAGGTCCACTGACCCACACGGTGGATGTCATGACTGCAATCAGGAAACTCCGCAACGACCCGCGGACAATAGAAGCGCTGGACCCGGACGTGTTTACTCAGTTTATCCAGTCCCTCCAACCCTTGCTGGATACTAGCCCTCGTCCCACGACCTTTGAGCTACCTCCTCACTTCGAGAACAAACTTCGGTTTGCAATTGTCCAGATGGCCCGCAACAAGGCCCCAGGTCCGGACTAGATCTCCGCCGAAATGCTCCAGCTGGACGTCCCTAGGGCGGCAAATTCCATTGCAGCCCTCTGGTCGCAGGTTGGCCAACTGGCCTACGTCCCCAAGCTCCTTCGATCGGGACTGGTCGTTCCGCTATTTAAAAAGGAGAAGCAAATGATCCTCTAAACTATAGACCGATCACGATTCTATCGGTCATCCGGAAGGCCATTTCCAAGGCAATTGGGTTGATCTTTATTGAAGCAAATAGCTTTCACTCTTGGCAACTCGGGTTCCTCTCTGGCTCTAACACGGAAACGGCTATCGCAATGGCAGCCAAATCCCTCCACAGTGGCTTTAACTGTGGTGCCGTCTTGGACCTCAAATCTGCATACGATTTGGTCCCTCGTGACCGCCTGCTACAGTTATGCAGAAAAAGATTGGATCCGACAATGCGTGCCATGATGCCATGATGCAAGCACTCCTACACCGAACGGCGATCAAAACACAGGGACAACTTGGCACAGTCACAGCCAATGTGGTCCTGGGCGTGCCTCAAGGGGACCCCGTTCAGTCCATGGCTCTTCAACATATTCCTAGACCCCCTCTTACTACAACTGAACGCATATGCGGAGACGCGGGTGATTGGGTTCGCAGACGATGTTCTAGGATTAACGCGATCATGGCCGGGTATGGTCCGACTGCTCACCACAGCGGACGCCTGGGCCGTAGCCAACGGCATGGAATGGAATGCTACAAAGAGCCTCGTGCTCTCTCAAGCCCCACCGCCAATACAACTCTGGATAAATGGTAAGCGTATGGAGCACCGCCCCACGGTCTCCTACCTCGGGGTGTCAATCTCCAACTCCGGGGTAACGCCCCATAGACTCCTCGAGCGGCTCCAAAACGCTCACTGGGCCGCTCACAAGATGATCCGGGAAACAAGAACGGTCTCTCTAACGTACCTTCAGAAGAGGACCTTGGCCCAAACATTCATCAACTCTCTGGTTACGTATGTGCTATATACACAACCGTTTACCAGGGAAGTGGACGACGCCGCTATGGCCCTGGAAAAGTTACTTATTACATGGATCCTGCGCGTCCGCACACAGGAAAGCTATCGCTTTGGAATTGGAAGAGCACTCCTCCAACTCCTGCGGCTTTGGACAATTCGCCAAGTCCAAGCTGTGAAGCTCCTACTCGCACTTATGGTTCAGGAACTTAGCAGAAATGTAGCCCCCGCCCGAACGAAAGTGCTCACGGCTCTTCTGCTACTACAGGAGCTACAAAAGAAAAATGGACTGAACCAGGCTGGTTCAGTTACTCAGGCTCTGGCACTTAGAAAACAATTCATTCAAGAACTTCTCAACAAAGACCTGAACGCGGTTCATGGAACAGGGAAACGGGAAGTACCCATAGCAGGGAACCACTCCCTGGTCCCCTTACTTTGGGCGAATCATTTGTCCAAGGCCGCGCAGCACATCGGGGTCCTTTGGTACATGAGTGCCTTGGTCCCAAATGCGCACACGCGCCCCTTCTTCAGCGAGATTAAGCGATACTTGGAAATGGCTAACTGGGACAGCTGCTGACTTCATACACGTGGACACGTGTATGGAATTGGTAGCAAGCAAATGGGCGGCTACTAAGTAGCTCTCTACTGTTTTCTTTCAACTTTCAGACGCAAAAAGACTTGGAATTGTTCGGAGAGACACTTCAGACACTTCGTAGGGGGCTCGGAGCCGTCTAATTACCCGGTATGGCCCTTGGTTTCCTCCTGATATAGAAGTACTGACAACTTGCGCCACGCGAAGGCGGACGAAATGCAAGTCAAACCAACTGGTGTGCACCAGCTGGCCGGAATTATGAGAACTTAGTCACAAAGCTTTAGTAGTTATCTTTAGACTCCTGTGGACTTTGTTGCCCCAAGAGGGGAAAGTGAGCCACGTAAATATGAAGGCTCAACTCGTTCCAAATCTGACACGTGTTAGAGCTGGATGGGATAGGACTTGGATGTGCAGTCCTGTGGTTGGTACCCCCGGGGCCAAGTTCGTACCTGGCCTATCGGGCCACGTTCGCCCGTTGCAGCAACAAGAGAAGCAGCAGATATCATCTGAGGGTGAATGGGGTGGGGGTGCGAAGGTGGAATGGCGATCTGTGCGCTGGGCTTTTCCGTACTGCTGAGGGTGCATACGCATTGCGATTGCATCATTCATATTTTATGTCATTTGCATTTCCGTGCCAGATCACAAAATACGACACACAATACTAATTCTGTGTCGTATTTTGTGATCTGGAATTTGTGTGTACAAAATTTATGTGCATTTGTGTTTTTCGTAGTCGCCCACTGTTCGCAGTTAAGAGCCCAGCACTATCTATCGTGTTTGTTGAAGCGAGCAGTATAAAGAAGATTTACCTTTACAGGGTTTGAAGGCACTCTCCGGGAATCTATATCTGCACAGGGTGACGCGAAAGCATGCCTTTGAAGAGCATCACGATTGAAGTTTCTGAGAGCAGAGAAACCGGCTTCGTATCTGATGTACTGTTTGAACTGGGTGCTCTTTCAGTGAGCATATCCGACCTCTATCAAGGGACGGGGGCCGAAGATCCGATATACAGCGAACAACCGCAGGGCACAGTGTCCTTGTCCGCGGCGAGAGGGCAGTCACTCTGGAGAAATGCGCGCATCACGGCGTTGTTTCCGCTGTGTTTTGATAGCGAAGCGCTACTGATGACGATTGGGACGGAGTTTGGGCTGGAGCAAACGCCGACGATGCGGCTCTACAGTGAGGTTTTCGATGATAAATCGCCAGCAGAGTGGGTTGCTCGGGTGCAATCGAGTTTCCAGCCGATTTGTCTAGGCGAATTAACGATTACGTTTCCATGGCACCCCAGAGAAGCAGGGGTTACGAACGTGGTACTAGACCCCGGGATGACGTTTGGAAGCGGGGAGCATGCGACGACGCAGCTATGTGCGCGGTGGGTGATGGAGAATGTGGGCAAAGGGATGGAAGTGCTTGATTTTGGGACTGGAAGCGGAGTGCTCGCGATTGTGGCGGCAGTGATGGAGGATGTGAGAGCGGTGGGGGTGGACTTGGACGCGGACGCAGTGCAGGTGGCGCGGGCGAACGCGGAGCGGAATGGGGTCGCGGACCGGGTGAGTCTCTACGAAAACGAGGACGAGCCGGAAGGGAGAGAGTACGACCTGGTGGTGGCTAATATCATGGCCGGGCCTCTGAAATCGTTGGCAGATCGGCTGGTGTCTAGACTGAAGCCGGGCGGGATGATTGGGCTTTCCGGGGTGCTTGTCGGGCAAGCGGAGGAGATGAGGGCGTGGTATGGGGAGAGAGGGATCTGGATTGAGAACGCAGCAGTGGACTGCGAGTGGGTGCTGTTGGTTGGGAGGAAGATGGGGAAGCGGTGAAAGGCTTGTTTTACGAGGGGCAGGGAGGGGAATGACGAAGGAGTGACGAGGGTGTGTGGGGCTGACAGGTTGAAATTTTAAGAGTTATGATGAGGGCTAACGAATGGCAAGGTCCTGTACGTAGTTCGCAAGGATGGGTGTCGGGGCAAAAGGTTTGGCTAGCGGCAAGGTGGAGGGGGGTGGCATGGGGGTAAAGTGTTTCGAAAGAGGCGGAAGCGAGATGGTGATGAGGCGAATGATGACGAGGGGGCGTGCGGGGAGGGCCGCGGATGCGTGCTCGAAAGGCGGGAAGCGCGGAGCGGGAAGCGGGAAGGGCGGAGATTGGGGGGAGGGGGGGGAGGGGGGGGGGAGGAATTGGGGAGAGGGATCGGGGCCTGACATCAGCACGCAGAGACGCCGACCGGGGGCCGTGCGTGGATGACGGTAGGGCGTTTTCCATTGGTCATGGAGGCGAGGTGTGATGGTGTGGCCCGGTGGAAGTGTAACAGGCCGGGGATACTGTACGCAGTGTGGACACGCACTGGTGGCCTGGGTGGTACCGTTCCCTTCGGTACAACGCGCGGCAGTGTAATGCAGGAGGAGTTACAGTGACGCGGATGAGTTTTTTATTCGAATTCGCATGGCCCCCGTCAATCATTATGAGTCGCGGCGGATAAACTCACTACTGTAGTACTGTACGGCTCCAAGACGCATCCATTCCGTTCCACGAGGCGCCCGTGGTGGAATGTCGTCGAGGCACACGTGTAAAAAAGTGCCATCGTGAGTCACGTCAGCGCGGGGAGAAATGGCGCTTACAGCGGGGCGGCGGCACGAAGCGAAAGGCGGGGCCCGCTGCGTGAAGGGCAAGGGCGAGCGGGCCGAGGGGCGAGCGCCTGGAGAATTCCGGAGACGTGTGTCGACAGGGCCGCGGAACGGGGTCGCCTCCGGTGGACCGCCTGTCCCGGCTGAGGTGTGCTCACGGGCGTGGCGTACATGGTGGCATTTCCGCGGCCTATGTGATTTCGGTAGCCTGCCCAATCGCACGCCGCCGCGCATTTTATTTCCGCAAAACTTCCCCACGCGCGCTCCAGCGCCCCCCCTCCCCTCCCGGTGCCACTGCTTTTTCAAAT